CTCTTAATAAAAGGATTTGTTCTGTGAAGTCTGGACTCAGTCAAAAGACTGTACTGGAGGACCTAGAAGGCCATATGTGGCTTCCAGGCCACAGGTTCCCCACCTCTGGATCTTTGCAAAGGGGAGAGGGGACTAACACTGGGAATTTAGGCAGCATGGTATAATGGAAAAAATGCTGGGCTAGGAGTTACCTGCATTCTAGCCCTGGCTCTGCCCCTTAACTGGCTATATGACATGGAACAAAACACAGTGTCCCCCTGGGTCTCAGTTTCCCCATCTGTAAAATAAGAGGGTCAGACTCTGTGACCTATAAAGTAGCTTTCAGATACGAGATGCCATATTTTATGGAGAACTCACGCAGGGCAAGCATTCACATGGTGGTCAAAAGAAGCAATACAAAGACACTCTCAAGGTCTCTCTTATGAACTCTGGAATTGATTGTGTGACATGGGAGACACTGGCACAGGACTGCTGAGCATCAGAGAAGGAGCTATGCCCCATGAGCAAAACAGAATTGAAGTAGCTCAAAAGAAATGCCAGATGTGCAAATTTAGAGAATCCACCCCAAATGTTCACATGAACTAGTTGTGCCCGACCTGGGGTAGAACATTCCGAGCTCATATTGGTCTGATCAGCCACAGTTAGACATGCTGTACCTTGACTCTAGCATGGTGATGTCATTTTTGTCCTCTTTGAGAACAAAGGACCACAACCAGCCATGTTCTATGAATCTACTTTAGCCTCTAGAGCAGACAAACTGCATCAGAGGAGGTGAGGAGTGAGGGATAAGATATCAGGGGAAGAAAACTTTGGCAGAGCAAAGACAGTTGCATCCCCTCAAGAGTGACAGACTCCCAGGCTTAGGATAAGAAGGCATTTACTCCCATGTAGCATAGGACCCCTAGCCTTTCTCTCTCCTCTTTTTTCTTTTCCAGAGGCAACTGGGGTTAAGCGACTTGCCCAGGGTCACACAGCTAGTAAGTGTCTGAGACCATATTTAAACTCAGGTCCTCCTGACTCCAGGGCTGGTACTCTATCCACTGCGCCATCTAGCTGCCCCTCTCTCCCTCCTCTTTTGTGAACTCCTAGAATCCTGGCTCTGGCAGCAGGCAGGTGCTGGGAGAACCTAGTGGTTGATAATTCTGGGGAACTGGTTTTATATTTTAGCCCCAGGTCTACCACAAATCAGTTAGGGAGTGGTCACTTCTCTTCTTGGCACTTTATTTTCCTTATTTGTAAAATTGGGGGGTTGAACTAGATTCTCCATATCCAACCCACAGCCCACCTGACACTGGGATGTAGATCTGATAATTTTAGAAAAACTTAAAAACAAACAAACAAACCTGAAATAGCAAGAAACAAGAATAAGACAGTTTGTCTGTTAGCAGACTCGGATCAGTTAGTAATTACGTAGAAAAATGTATATAAAAAAATTCACACGTATGGATTTCTGACCACCTAAAGGCAAAGTATTGAACAAATGTGGGTGTCTTTGACCCACTTGACCTCCAGGGTCCCATTCAACTTGAAAGTACTCTGTTTCCTTATTTGTTGGTTCCTTCCTTTTTTTCATTTTATGATGCTAGGTTCTATGTATCTATAATTCTGTGTTTAAGATTCTGTCCTAACTAGCATTCCTAATTTTGAGTCACCAGCTCAGACCCGTCAATAAGAGGCGGGCGGTGCTGGTAACTTCTCTGTGATTCATAATGACAACCCTTGGTGGGGTAGGGGTAGGAAGTGTGGAGGGAGGGGGAGAATTGGTTTATCTCCAGCACAGCTAGTCCCCCAGGGCCAGAAGGGATTTTTGTCTTAAAGAAAAAGTAATATGTGTGAGCAAAGACTTTTTCTTTTTCTTTTTTTGGTGGTTGTTTTTGTTTTTGATGGGTCTATCCGTAAGCCTGTATGACTAGGTGTCAGTTTGAATGTGTTTGAGTTTGTGTATGACATTCTGTATTGCTGTATCTGTGTGTGTGATTGTGTTTGCCCATGTTTTTGGTATTTTCACTGTCTCTGGCCTTCCAATAGTCACTTGGGCATCATGCCCAGTTAACTTTACCTATGAACTTTCAGTCTTGCTTCCTAGCCATCCTTGAAGCCAGATATTCCCTCCCTCACCCTAGACTTTGGACACAACTCTATCTGACCCTGCAAGTTCCCTCAAATTACTGCCAGGGTCTCTAATTAGGGTTCCTAGGTGGTGGGGACAGAAGCATTTCTTTCCTTGCCCTTTGATCCCAGAGGCATGTGGGGTAACTGTATTCCTGGATCACCATTATGACAAGTCTGTGACTCATCTGGGACCTATGCTGTGGCTCAGTTTCCCATTTATGAAATTGTGTGTCAGTTGCTGTGGGTGGTTGGGTGAGTCCTTTTCCTTAGAAGGCTCCAGGGCTCCCCTTTCCTTCTCTTATTGACAATTCAAAATCTGACTAAGCTCAATAACCCCAATTGCAAGCAAAATTTCTCTCATCCTTTAAAGCAGGGGTTTTTAACTTTTTGTATGGTGGTCTGGTAAAGCATTCTTAGAATAATTATGTTTTTAAGTGCATAAAATAAAATACATAGGATTATGAAGGAAACCAATTATATTGAAATATAGTTATCAAAATATATATTCTTTAAAGATAATTAACCTCAAGTTAAGACTACTTGCTTTAAAGGAGTAATCAGTCAGTTCCCAAGGAACAGGGTGAAAACTCAACTGGAAAGAGGCCCGAGTTTTTGGAACAATAGGTCCTACTTTCATATTAGGATACTGGTCCCTGGGTAAGTCTGGGGTGGGTGGGAGTACATGTGAATATGTACAATGTGTACCATATAACTTATTAGCATGCCTAGATACCGTCACACGTCACATAGAACATACTTGCTTGGGACTTTCAATGGATCTATGATCTTATCCATATGGGGACTTCTTCTCCCCATAGAAATCAGAACCCTTTCGCACCTCTTCCTGTAAAATTCTTGTTCATGTTTTCACACAAATCATCCAGAGTCGTGTTGTCAAGCTCAAATATAAATAGGAGTCACTGGAGGACCTGAGTTCAAATCCAGCCTCAGACCAAACACTTGACACTTACCAGCTGTGTGACCCTGGGCAAGTCACTTAACCCCAATTGCCTAAAAAAATTTTGAAAACCCCCCCAATATATCTTATAAGTGTCCCTTTAATTTCCATTTCAAGACTGCTCCCCCCACCCCCAATGATCAGGAACTCTCTGCCTCTGGCCCAAGCTTATTTAATTTTTTTTGGACAGTTCTAATCCTTACCAAATCTTTCCCTACATGAAGCAGAAATCTGCTTCTTTGCCTGGGTGCCTGTTCACCCTTGGGAGTGGGTCACTAGGAAGGTCTTCTATGAGAAGTGTAATACCCTAAGTTTGGAAGTTTCAACTTCTCTCTCAGTAGTGAAAGAATGCTGGATTTGAAGTCAGAGGACTTGGTTCAAATTCTGACTCTGCCACTTAATACTCATGTGATACTGAGCAGATCAGGTCATCTCTCAGAGTCTGTATGCTTGACTGTAAAACGGACTAGATAAGCTCTAAGATTCCTTTTAGCTATGATACTGTGAACTTTTAGCAGCTGATCCTAGCTCTGCCCTGTCATGCAGAACCGTCTGGCAACGAGCATTTATTAAGAGCCTACTTATTGAGTGCAGGGGATACAATGAAAGGCAGAAACTGTCCCTGTTCTCGTAGAGATCAGTCTCCATGAGAGGAGAAACCATGTAAATAACTAGATACATAGAAAATATACACAGAGTATATAAAAAGTAATCTCTGAAGGGAAGGCTGTGGGGACCGAGGGGGGCAGAGAGAGAAAGGTATGCAGCAGAAGGTGGGATTTAAGCCATCTGAAGGAAGCCAGGAAAAGTAAGAGGCAAATTTGGGGAGGGAGAACATAGAGCTCAGGGGCACACGGCCATACAGAGCATACAGTCATACAGAGCATACAATACACACAGCACGTGTGATCCACAAGTGTTACACGTTTAGAACACATGATTGTTCATATGAAAAAGGTAGTATCCGAGACTTAGACCTGGAGGGATCTAGTCCAACCCGCTCATTTTACAGATGAGAATACTGAGGTTTGAAGGCTTTGCTCCATTCCAATCCAACACCACCCGCCTTCTTGCCCTTCCTCACACACTACACCCTACTTCCGACTCTGGAGCCTTTCCCCCCAGGCTCTCACTCTTCAACTCCGACTACTGGCTTCCCGGTTGCTTTCAATCCTCGGTTCAAATTCCACCTTGTTCAGGAAACTTTTCGTGATCCTCCTATTCCACCCCGCTCTCCACCTCCCTCTTATCCCTCCCCACAGAGAGCGCCTTCCCTTTGAAATTACTCTACATACTCTACATATCTTGTATATACATAGCTGTTAGTTAACATGGTGTTTTCCCCGTTAGAATATGAACTGCTGGAGAGCGGGAACCATGGTTTTACCTTTTTTTTGTATTAGCATAGCGCTTAATAATTCCTTGTTGACTGACTACAGAAAGATTTGCTTCTAAGGAAGAAGGATAGGGGACTGGAGAAGAGGAGGACAGGGGCAGTGTGGAGAAGCGGGACTCAGTGGCTGCTGATTCAGTCCCTGTTCCTCCTCTCAGTAGCTAAAAAGAAAAGGCTTCACTTCTCTCCAAAACCCCAAACGCCGGTTACCTGAAAGGAGAAGGGCGAAAGGGGAGCGGAAAGCAAGGGAGACCTTGAAATAGGGGTCTTATTCTCCCATTGCAATTCCAGGCTAGGTGGGCCACATCCGAAAGCTGCTTGGGAAATTTTCTAGGGGAGAAAAAAAATTGTCAAAGAGTTGGGGGCGTCGCGCGGTATGTCAAACTCGTCCTTCCCCAGCAAGCCTATAACCGGCGCGCCCCTCTCCGCCTTTACGAGCCGGAGGCTCTGGCTTGGCGGGCGGGGAGGCAGAGGGGCGGGCGGGGCGGGGCGAGGCGAGGTGGGGCCGAGTCAGCAGAGCCTTCTTATAAAGCACGGTCCCTGCAGGGGCCCCGCAGCGCGGTAGCGGACGGTGCGCTCCTTTCCTCTTCTGTCCCCTATTCTCTTGCGCGCTCTGCTCTGACACCTGCAGCTTCTACGCTCCCATACGGAGCTCCCGCACGCTTTCTCTCTCTCTTACCTTCGAGTTCTTGCCCCACGTACTGTGTCCCTACTCTGAACCATGGGCCGTCAGAAGAAGCTAGTGTCGCGCTGTGGGGAACTGATGCGGATCCGGTATCGGCTGCTGCGCCAGGCTCTCGCCGAATGCCTCGGAACGCTCATACTGGTGGTAAGAGAGGAAATGGGACAGGAGATCAGGAGATCTGGAGGAAGCGCGGGGCTCGGGTCGAGGGAGGCAGTTTCCTTTCGACGAAAATTCTTTACCTTCATTCCCTAGATCCCTAAAGCAATCCCACCTAGTCCCTTCATTGACTTCTCTGTTCTTTCAAAGCCATCTCTCTGTCCATCCGCCGACCACCGGACAGCCTTTCCATTAGCAACAGTTCCATCAGGGGCCAGAATGACAGCTACCATGCTAGAGGGGAGTGCTAAGGCCCCCCCTTGAGCCTTTGAACTCTCAAACCTCCCACCCGACCCCTTATCTCCTGAAATCCTGGTTCTAACCAGCTTCAAGACGGGAAGGGCAAAGGATTCGGCTTTTGCCGGGAAGAAATGGGGTTTAGACGGCTAGTTGAGGATTATTAAGACAACATCGTCTGGTCTCTAATGAATAATTAAACCTAGAAAAGTCCAAAAGTTATTCCGAATAAAAGATATTGAGATCTGGGGTCAGTAGGGGCTTAGGGTTACTTGAAGGAATTCGTCTCAAGTCCCTGGGGATGACTGTCTTGTGCGGTGGGAAGATGTTGGCCTGGGCTGGGTCCTTGTAGACAGGAGGGCGATGACTTCTTAAATTTGCCCATCTGGGAAGAGGAGTGACTGAGGACTCAGAGCACCCTAGGCTTAAGTCCTGTCTCACTCATCTCTGTAACCTTGGGCAAGTCACATAACCTCCCTTCGCCTTAATTTCCTAAGTGTTAAAAGAAGAAGATGGACTAGATTCTGTGGTCCCTGCCACCTATAGAGCTGTAATCATGTTGTGGAGAGAAAAATCAAATTACCTTCACTTTACTCGTGGTTGCTCTTGGTAACTTCTATTGCTTTTCCTTTCTTCCGCTATCATTCCTCAGCGACTCTTGCTTATTCTTACCCTTTTCCATGGTAGCCAGTTATTCTTGGTTTCTGCTGTGTTACTTTTGATTGTATTTGCTCTTAATTATACTAGTTACCTGTTTTTGTTGTATACTTCTGGTTATCCCTCTTTCCAGTTACGGCTCTTCATTCACCTTGAGCTGAGCTAAGTGCTCTGTGCAGACAGCTGCCAAAATAGAATAGAAGGGCTGGAGAGGGGTGGTGGGATATGGAGGTTGGACTGAATACAGGTGGAGCAGGGCAGAGGTTAGAGGCTAGGTCAGGGCTAATGAAGCTGAACCGGAGTGTGTGTTCGCGTATGTGTATGGAATGGGGAGTGTCTCCTTATCTATTGCCCTAGGTTCTCTGACTGGTGAAGAAGCCCAGCGATCAGTGTGCTGGAGGCAGTTAGGAAGGGGTATATAGATATGGGGAGACCTGACCAATTAAAATGCAGAGCCCTGAACTGCGAGATATAATCCTTGTTCTGGAAAGACGGGGAGACAAGGAGAGAATGCACTTTGCCACTACCCCCCCTCCCCCTTTGCTCCACGGAGACTGGCAAGGCTCTACCAGCCATCTGGAGACATCTGCATCTCTCACGTTTGCAGGCAGCTATAACCAGGCAAGATAGTGCCATCAATTGGCAGAAGAGGCCAGGACTGTAGGGGTGGGATTTGGAGGACAGAGGTGGGTCTCTGTATCATCTTTGTCTTTACTTAATTGTGTCCAGACAAGACAGTTCTATTTCTTGGCAAGAGAGTAGGGCAGGGCTTTAAGGTGGAGTTTGGGGACAGAACTAGGTCCCAGTTTCTCTTGTCTTTTCACTCTCCCCCCCCATGTATACATGCATTGAGGCATTAGAGAAGACAGGGTAGGGAGTAGAGCTCAGCAGTCCTGAGAGTGCTTCTCTAACAACTCCGTGGGATCATTCCCCCCACACCCACCTCTGCCTTCAAAACAAGCATTTCTTTTTTTAAAGATTTATTTTTAGTTTTTAACATTAACTTTTATAAGATTTTGAGTTCTAAATCCCCCCCTCCAAAGATAGCATGCAATCTGCTATAGGCTATAAATGTACAATTGTCTTAAATATATTTCCACATTAGTCTGCAAAACAGGCATTTCTAAGATTTAGGTGGAAATATGTTTGACTTTCCTATTTTTGAAGGCAGCCCCATCATCCTTCTCTCTTTGAGCCTCAGGTGTTCTGCTCTTCCATTGTGAAATGAGAAGAAACTGTGCAGGAATCATTAAAGCCTTGGCATGGGAGAGTGCTCTGCCTATCCCACCAAGGGATTAGAGGAATAATCTCAATGCATACTGGCTGGGAGGATTGGGGCGTGATGTTCGTGGAGGTGCCTTTCAAGTGTATTTGGGCATGTGAGTGTTGGTGTGCCAGTGAAAGCTGAATGAGCTTGATCAGGTGGGGAGGAACTTTGTTTTGGAAAGAGGGTACAGGGGATGACTCAAGAGCCCAGTGGATAGGATGATGGGGCAGGGGTAACCCTCAGTGGGTTAGGGTAAAGAGTCATGGAGGTTTGAAAGTCTCTGGTTCATCTGGGTGGGGGAAATCTTGAGATTTAGTGAGGTTAGATGTCCAGAAGAGAGAAAGCAATCCCTTTTTCATAAAGAGGGGCCAGAAGAGTGTTGCTGAGAACTGGACAGACCCGCAACTCCATCTGTCTAGTGGAGAGAGGGAGAAGGGGCCAGTAGAGGGAGATAGGGGGATAGGCCAAGATGACCTCCAGGGTGAGGAAGACAAAAATCAGCCAGGAGGAGACTCCAGCTGAACTGGCTCCTAGCCATCCCCTCCCTATTCCCTGGCCTCTGGAACTGGGCCAGCTCCCCATACAGTTGGCAGAGAATGGAGGCTGGGTCCTGGGCTAGGCCAAAGCATAGTGCCCCAGGGCTAGGCAATACTTCTCCCCTGATGCTTCACCCAACTTTTGTTCTTTGCTCTTTTTCTGTCATCTCATACCTTTGGACTTTACCTACTTACCTATTTTTATTCCTGGGGTGAAATTCCTTGATACTTTAGTGGCACCCTGCCCCCTTGTAGATAGCCTTTCTGACTGTCTTTGGATTTCTCCCCTATCTCCCTCCTCTGCCTCCTTTACTTCTCTCTAGGTTCTGAAAATATTTGTTAAATTCAGTTGCATGAAAGATTCTCCATGTATTTTTGTCCTTTCCTGTCTTCCTTTCTCTCCTCTCTCCCTTACCCCCACTACTTTAAAAAATACCACTTGAAACCATGTCTTTACCCTCTTTTTCCTTCTCTCTGAGGGGGATTAAGACTCTTCACACCTTAGTGGAGCAAGGGTTCAAATCAAGTAAACATTTATCCATTTTCCCACACACCACCTCCTCCTCTCTTACCCTCCTGGTGCTCAGCCTTGTGCTGTACTCCCAGAGTGGGGGAGGGGGAGAGGAGTGGAGAGACAGATTAAACAATAAAATCCGGCTTAAATGCCAGCTGAAGATAGCAGTATAAGAAGTTGAAAGGCTGAAGGAATTCAGTGCCTAATGAGTGGCATTAAACCTAAGGCTTGTAGGAACTTACAGAAGGAAAAGAAGTTAAACAGGACTTGTCAGGGCATGGGTTTGTGTGTGTGTGTGTGTGGTGGGGGTGATTGTTGGGATTTTGCTTTAAGGATCTTATATGACTGCCTTTTGCCTGCAACTGAGGTCTGCAGTTTGCATATTTGTTGTGGAGAGGATTTTTGTTGTTCCAGACCTATAATTTAATGACTGTAGAGAACTCCCAGAAAGGAAACTCCTTCCACCAATGCATATGCCTAACTGTCCTGAAATTTATAGTCTTCTAGTTGGATAAGACCTAGAAATCCTAACCCTAGAACTAGCACACTGTCCTGGTCTTTCCCCAATCTTCTTGTCTGTCTCATTAGAGGAAGCAATGTGTATGGATGACTCCAATTTAGTCTTGTCCCTTGGGCATCTTGATTCCATATGTTGTTAATTAGCTTGGGGATGTGGTTCATCCTTGGAGATGGAGGGGCAATGAGAAGAGGATAAAGAGGAAAGACTCCAAATTACATGTTTATAGGGAGATCCTAACATACTCTCATCATCAGAGATCATTAGAGCTGAAGGATATAAGAACCTTGTACAGAAGAACCTTGGAACAAAATAATTGTAATCTCTCAAATTTGTATAAAGCTTTCCAATTTTCAGATCATTTTCCACATACTCCTGTAATCCTTCATATAATCTTATAAATTTGATAGGGAAGCCTCTATACCCCCAGTTTACTAATAAGGAAATCGAAACTTCAGAAGGTTAAAGGATGGTCCCAAGATCATACAGTGATTGAACCAGAACTATAAACACAGTTTCATGAGTCCTAGTTCAGTGCTCTTCATACTGCCCTTAGCTTATCCGATGACTTTTTTCAGCCTACACTATGTTATTTTGTAGGAGGGAAGTTTCCACTGGCAGCAGGAAGGAAATTGGCTAGATGGTAGCACGAGGCTTCATAATGGGGTTATGTGTGTGTGTGAGCATAAATGGGTATTTATTATGAAGGCATGGAAAAGAAGCCCCTATGCCATGTCAGCAATCCTCAGTCTCACCCCATATTTCTCTATCACAGATGTTTGGCTGTGGCTCTGTGGCCCAGGTTGTGCTGAGCAGAGGGACCCACGGTGGCTTTCTTACCATCAACCTGGCTTTTGGCTTTGCAGTCACACTTGGTATCCTTATTGCTGGCCAAGTATCTGGTATGTCCCTTCCCCCTTAATGTCCTCTTCCTTACTTGACCTCTAGAATGCCTCCCTTAGATACTGGAAACACCCTGACCTGTGGGCCCTTTCCTCAGAGTGAAGGGATTCTGTCTTGCATCTTAGAAACCTAGAAATGAAACTTCCCACCGCATGTGGGAGATCTCTCTGTAGCATCTCTGAAAAGTGGTCTTCCTGACTCTACTTGAACATTTTCAGTGACGGAAAGCCAACTCTCCACAAGGCATCCCATTCCATTCATAGAATATATTCTTCCTTATATTGAGTTGAAATCGGCCTCTTTGCAATTTTGATCAGTTGGTTCTATTCTCCTAGGGGTAAGCTAAGCATCAGCACCTTAACTAGGGATAAGATATTAAATACCTAGCTCCTCTTCTTCTGTTTTACCCCCCATAGCTATGTCTGAATTGTGTCTTCTCTCTATCCAGGGGCCCACCTGAATCCAGCTGTGACCTTTGCTATGTGCTTCCTGGCGAGGGAGCCCTGGATCAAACTGCCCATCTATGCCCTGGCCCAGACAGTGGGGGCCTTCCTAGGGGCTGGGATTATCTTTGGGCTGTACTATGGTGAGGATCTACAAGGATTCTGAACTCTTTCCCCCTATTCTAGGGTTCTATTTCCCACACCCCCCCTTCTTTGTCACTTTCCCCTTCTACTCCTTTCCCTTCCTCCTTTTCCTCCATTCTCTCAATCCTCAACCACTGACTTATCCTGCCATCATAGTGGCCAGGTGCTGACAGAAGGGCTGCCCCACCCTGCAGCCACCTGAGTACATGACTCACTGGGGCTCCTGATGAGGGGAACAAAGGGAGGAGCAATGGAGGGGAGGGATAAACAAGTTGGGTAACACCAAGAGATTCGTTACTCAACACCGACCCTCCCCACCCCCAATCTGATGTAATAAGGTAATTATTTTTAGGTTATTTTTTGTTGCCTTCATGGAGCAACATATAAATTCTCTACTTTCCTGGGTAGCATACACTGGAACAAATCATAGAATGGGTGTGCCAGCACATCCTGAGGGAACATCCTCCTTTGCAATTGCTCGAAGGGGAAGAACCAATGACAATGGTGCCCCAATGGGCATATCCTTTCCACACTCTGTGGAAGCCTATGCTAGGGATATGAGACGTATAGGAGATCAAATTCTATGTGGGAAATCCAACAGCTTCTCCTCATCTCTCAACTTTGTGGGGCTCAGAGAAGGTAGGATGAGCTCAGAGAAAAATGGATAATATAGGGGAAAGGATACTGACTGTGAAGTCAGAAGATCTGGATACCAGGTAACCTTGGACTTCAGGTTCCTCACCCGTAAAATGAAAGGGCTTGACTTGATGTCTTCTGAATTTCCAGCTCCATATCTATGGTCCTTTTGAGTCCCCAGAAATTGCATGTGTGGCTTCTCAGTGGGCTGTGATGTAGGGGAGAGGACGAAGATGAGATTCTCATACTTAGCCTGCCCTTGGAGAACTCCTGTTTCCCTCCCCCTGTATAAGGGGAGGTGGTGGGGTTCAAGCCTCATCCTTTCTGATATTTCATGTGATCTTTCTTCAGATGCGATTTGGGCCTTTGCTGGTAATGAACTTGTTGTCTCTGGCCCCAATGGCACTGCTGGCATCTTTGCCACCTACCCCTCCGGCCACTTGGACATGGTCAATGGCTTCTTTGACCAGGTAAGATGCTTTGGAGTGAGGTTCTCAGCTTCTCTGTGCATCTCCTCTCACCCTCTTGAGGGAGACCAAGGAGAAGAAGCCACTATGTCCATTGCAACACATTCATCTGTCTGGGGAAATAGGACTTAAATGAGATAAAGGATGCAGAAAGGTAGTACATGATTAAGGAGGAAGATGTTGTAGCTCCAATCCAATTCCGAGTGCTGGGGGAGCTTAAAGCTCCAATCGGGATGCTACCTTCCTTGAGAGTGGAGGACTTGAATTCAACCTCCAAAGACAGTTAAGTTTTGGATAAGTAAAGAGGCAAGGAAACACTTGGGAAAGTGGAGAAGGATTTGTAGACACCTCTGGCAGTGAGATCAGGGGACTTAAAGGTTAACTTTCTCTGGATTCTTCCATCCTAGTTCATTGGCACAGCATCACTCATTGTCTGTGTGTTGGCTATTGTGGATCCCAACAACAACCCAGTTCCCCGAGGTCTTGAAGCCTTCACTGTTGGTTTTGTGGTCCTGGTCATTGGTACATCCATGGGCTTCAACTCTGGTTATGCTGTTAACCCAGCTCGAGATTTTGGTCCCCGCCTCTTCACTGCCATTGCTGGCTGGGGTTCTGAGGTCTTCACGTAAGTCATAGGTACCCTGCTGCTCCCTCCCTGTTTCAACTTCTTTGGCTCCCACTTCCAGCTTTCACCCTGGTTCCCCTCATTGGACTCTCCCTGTTTTCCATCTTCTCTCATCAGGGTAGTATCCAATGTCCTTTAGGTTGTCTTGAAATATATGCCTTATTACAAACTTGGTAAGGAGGAGTGGCTGGGCTGTACCGGGGGCCTCACACAGGTCTGTCGTCTTTCTCTCCAGAACGGGTCGGCACTGGTGGTGGGTCCCCATCGTCTCACCACTTCTTGGTTCCATTTGTGGAGTTTTTGTCTATCAGCTCATGATCGGATTTCACCTGGAGGCTCCACCTCCTTCCACAGAGCAGGAGAACGTCAAGCTGGCTCATGTGAAACACAAAGAACAGATCTGAGTGGAGAGTTGCAGCTCCCTGTCCCTCCAGGATCCCCACTCCTTCCCCTAGGAACTAACACTGATAGAACTGTGCCAGAGACATACTCTCAAAGCAGCCATAGCCTCCACCTCTCTGGTCCCCATCCCTCCCACTTCTCTAGCCCTGGGATACTCTTTCCTGAGGGTTATGTTTAGCAATAATGCTAAACCCAAAAAAGCCCCCTCAAACCTCTCTCCCCACCCTAGGGGTTAATGAATCCTTGGGAATCATGGTCAGTATAGATTTACAATGGTTGTTGGACGTAAGCCCTGCCCTGATATTGCCAGACCTGAAGTAGGATATTTGCCAGAAATAATAAATCACTTTGAGTTCTTGGAAGGTTCTTCAGAGGGAAAAGGAGAGGGGAAGTCAATAGCTAGAAGCTCAGCAGATGTGTGAAGGGTTCCAGATATGTGAGAGATACATAGGTGAGAAGGTAGTTACAGATATTACGAGGGCATTTTAGTCTTGGGAAAGTCCCAGATTCATTCATTCATTCATTCATTCATTCATTCATTCATTCATCCCAGATATAGGAGAGGCTCAAATGAAAGGGAGTCCAAATGGAGACATGTTAGATGTATGGGAGGCAGTGCAAATAAAAGAAAAGTCCAAGTGTGTGTGTGTGTGTGTGTGTGTGTGTGCGCGCGCGCGTGTGTGTGTGCACGCAGGTATATTAGTAATTATGGATGTGTGTCAACTGAAATGTGTGTGGAAGGGGGAGGGTACATACATATATGTCCTAGAAAGGAGAGACCCAGAAGCAGAGGATCTTGCTAGACTTTGGGGAAGAGGGGAAGTCAGGGAGAGCAGAAAAACCTCTTGAGACATTACTTTGCCTGGGTATATGTGTGTGTTTGGTGGGGGGGAGGGAGGACGACTCATACTTTGAGGTTCAGAGCTCTGCACATAGGTAGAAGCCATTTGCTTGTTCCCAGCCTGAACCATGACCTGAGGGGGTGGGTGCTAAGTACAGGTATATGTCTCATTTGGGCAAATGTTACAGATGGGGTTGGGGGGCCTTCCTTCCCAGACAAATGCCCCTGTTCCTTGCTCCTGGGTGTTCTTATTTCCTCCAGGCATTCCCAGGTTGGGTCAAATAAGGGTGCCTATTCCTTAAGTACTCCTTATTCACTGTGTGGATACCCCCACCCCAATACACTCTTGTATTTTTTAAAATAAAGACATTAACACAGAAAACTTGATTACTGTGAGTTTCTCTCTTGTTCATCTGTTTATATTTTGGAGGCAATTGGGGTTAAGTGACTTGCCCATGGTTACATGTCACACATCTAGCAAGTGTCTGAGGCCAGATTTGAACTCTTGTTCATCTGTTTGTTTTTGAGGCAATTGGGGTTAAGTGACTTGACCAGGGTCACATGTCACACTTGGCCTGAGGCCATATTTGAACTCAGATCCTCCTGACTCAGGTGGGTGCTCTAGCCATTGTGCTGCCTAGCTGCCCCCCTCTCCTGTTCATCTGGTAACGAGTAAAGCACATTCAAGCTGAGTATCTCCCTCCCTCTTGCCTTATAGGAAGGGGAGTGGGGGGAGGTAGGTGGAGAAAAAACAATTCGGACCTACCCAAATGAATTAATATGTGCAAATCAGCTATGATAGGTTATTTATATGATGGATAGATGGATATATAATCAAATTAGTTTATATGTGTAAAGTTTGTGAACTTTTAAGAGCTATGAAAATGTCAGTTTCTCACATTCACTGAAAATCTTTGGGTGCCCAGTCCTACTGTTCAGTCTCCCTGTCTGACTCTTCATGACCTCTTTTGGGGTTTTCTTGGTTTGCCATTTACTTCTGCAGATCATTTTACAGAAGAGGAAACTGAGGCAAACAGGATTAAATGACTTGCCCAGGATCACACAGCTAGTAAGGGTCTGAGGCCAGATTTCAATTCCAGTGTTCCTGCTTCTAGGGCTGGAGCTCTATCCACTGTGCTACCTACCTGCCCAGCCCTAAGGGCTCTAATAATAATAGCATTTATGTTTTAAAGTTTGCAAAACACATTGCACTTATTTGATCCTCTTAATAACTCCTATGAGATAGCTTTTATTCCCATTTTTTGTGTAGGGAAAAGGTAAATAAATAAGAGAGTTTAAGTAACTTGACCAGGTCCATGCACTTAAGTGTCTGAGGCAGGCTTTAAACTCAGATCATCCTGACTCCAAGACCAGAGCTTATACATTTCACTGCCTGCCTGTCTGCCCACCTACCCTCTGAGAAACACAAGGTCTGTTGAGGGCAATGGAGTTCCTATCATGATGTACATTTTCTTTGCCCTAAACTTTGTTTATTGTAGGTGAATGGCCTAATTTCTCCCGGTTTGCTGCAGTTTAGCCCGAAAGTCTGGGCTTTAGAGTGCCAGGACAATCACCTGAGAGTCCTGAGAAACACAGTGGACCGATGATACCTCATTTATATAGTGCTTTCAGTTTTGCAGAGTGCTCAACTAATAGCAACCCTGTGAGGTTAGTATTAGAATTATCAATATTATTTTATAGGTGAAGAAGCAAGCTCAGGGAAATTCAGGCAAAGAGAGCTGGATTTGGAATGTCTGTTCTTCTGAACCTCCTCTCTTCTTATTTTACCTGTGTTCTTGCTTCATTCAAATCTAAAATTGAGGGAAGAGGGACTATTAGCAGCACAGTGTCCAGCACATAGTCTGAGGGCCTGTATTCAAATCCTGACTCTGCTATTTGCAGCCTAGTTTTATCAAGTCCTTCTACCTCTCTGGGCCCCAGTTTCTCCTCCGTGAAATAAAAGGGTTGTTTTAAGTGGTTTCCAAGAGCCCAAAGTGTGAGAACCATATAGAAAACCCGGACTCAGATCTCGGCTCTATCTCTTAATAGGTGTGAAAATTGGATGATTGAACTTCTGACCCCAAACCTCAGTTTCCTCACCTGTAAAATGAGGAGGTTGAACTAGATTATCCCAAAGTACCCTTTCAGCTCTAAATCTATGATCCTATGACCTCTCTCCCTTCCCCCAGGAATAAACAAACCAAACATCTGAACTTGTAGATCACATGTTTTCCTTCTTTATTTCTCATTTTCTTCTTTCCTGGTTTTCCTCTAGAGTTTCACTAGAAACAAAAGAATAGAGAGGGCGGGAAGGGGGAGGTGGGGCTGGCTGGGGAGGAGTGTGTTTAACTCCATGAGAACCAGAAGCAGCACTGCCTGATAGGGGTGAACCCACAGAAGGTGGACCCATCTGGGTCTCACAAAACACTAAATGAAACTAGAACCCAAGTCTTCCCAGTTCTCAGAGTTTTGCTCCAGGGGAGGGAGGGGACAGGGTGGTTACTCCATACCCCATTCCCATGCCCCCACGAGCCCCAGGGGTGGGCCTGGAATGCTTCTAGAGGGAATTCAGCCAACGGAGTGTTCCTTTCCAAGAGCCCTAGGGGAAGGGTGGAAAGAAAGAGACTCTGAAGGGTATAGAAGTAGCATGCCCTTCATAGTAAGAGTTTCAGAGCAATTTAGGGCACTCAAAACCTCTCTATTCAAAGCTCTAGCTCACTTGTTCTCGGAATCTCAAAATTCATATCTGGAAGGGACCTTAGTCAGAGTTACATTCTTCAGTGCCTGCTATGCTCAATCCTTTCTGGCCAGGGTGCCAAACTTGGAGTCATAGAGACCAGGGTTCAAACACTGGCTCTGAATTGCTTCATCTCTCTTGGCCTCAGTGTCCTCATCTGTAAAAGGAGGGGGCTGGATGAGGTGGCTTTTGAGGTCCCTTCTCTATCTGGATCTATGATCCTTTGTTCTTACCAGCCTCAGTTTCCTATTCCCAGGAACTTGTGACCTCATGGAACAGCCCATTCCGTTTTTGGACAATTCTAATTTTTTTAAAAAATATTTTCAGTTTGTTTCCATGACACTTTGTGTTTCTATATCACCTTTTTTTTTAATTTATTTTTTTTTTTTTGCTTTTAGGCAATTGGGGTTGAGTGACTTGCCCAGGGTCACACAGCTAAGAAGTGTCAAGTGTTTGGTAGGAGGCTGTATTTTGAACTCAGGTCCTCCTGACTTCAGGGCCAGTACTGCCCCACCTAGCTGCCCCGACAATTCTAATTTTTAAAAAGCCAACATGATGTAGTGGAAGTCATAAGAAAACCTGTATCGTGGGCAAATCACCTCATTTCTTTGATCCTTCATTTTTTATTTTTTCTCTTTCTTTGTATCCCCATGTCTGGTACAATGCCTAGCACATAGTAATGACAATAGCTAGAATTTATATAGTGCTTCATGGTTTGTAAAATGCTCTACAAAACTTATCTCATTTTGATCCTCACAACAACCCTGAGAAATAGGTGCTATTATTATCCTCACTTTGCAGAAGAAAAAACTGAGGCAGACAGAGGTTAAGAGATTTGCCCAGGGTCACACAGCTAGTAAGTGTCTGAGGCTAGATTTGAGCTCAGGTCTTTCTGATTCCAGGTGCAGCACTCTATCTGCTGGGCCATCTAACTGCCTTTAGAAGCCTGCAGAAGAGAAGATACTTAATACTTCTTGACTTGACTTGACTTGCACTACTTACGTCTTAAGGTTGTTGTGAGAAGGTCATGTTGTAAACATTAAAGCACTGTGTAAATTATTGTTAGTAGGCAATTCTTCCTTATAAGGAGCTTAAATCTATCATGCCAGAAATTTTTCCTAGGCCGTTTTGTTTCAATCTCTCCTTTGCTCCCATTACTCTAGACCTTGTATTGTGGTTGTTTGTGTCCCTGCTTCAGGGCAGGGACAGTCATTTTTATCTTTGTATCTAAATATCTGTTAAATGGATGAACTACCAGTTGATTCTTATTCCTGACATTGGCCTGACTTAATCTGGGAGTTCAGGTTTGGGATTAGAATGAAATGAAATCTGGCAATAAACCAAAGGAATGTACTTAGCCATAGCATGGGAAGGATATTTAGAAAGGACATAAATGCTGGTTTAGGTAAGCACAGTCCCCCTCATCTCCATGCCCAAATTTGTCTGCTCAATTTCATTGATCAACAAGCATTGAAGAACTTACTATGTGCCAGGATTGTGGTAGACACTTGGAGGTACGAATATGATAAATGAAACAATTCCTGCCTGCAAGGAACCTGAATTCTAATGGAGAAAACAATAACCGAATATGCATATATGTTATACATAAAATATATACACATGCATATGCAGAATAAATATTAAGTACATATAAGAAATTTTGGGAAGAGAGGGCTTCATGTAGAAGGCAAATGACCAGCACCTAAGCACCAAGGCTAGAGATGGAGTATTGTGTATGAGGAACAGAGAGGAGGACTAGTTGATTGGTTTGAATTAAA